GACCAACCCTGTAATGTGACCAACCCTGTAATGTGACCAACCCTGCAATGTGACCAACCAACCCTGCAATGTGACCAACCCCGGAATGTGACCAACCAACCCTGCAATGTGACCAACCCCGGAATGTGACCAACCAACCCTGCAATGTGACCAACCAACCCTGCAATGTGACCAACCCCGGAATGTGACCAACCAACCCTGCAATGTGACCAACCCCGGAATGTGACCAACCAACCCTGCAATGTGACCAACCCCGGAATGTGACCAACCAACCCTGCAATGTGACCAACCAATCCTGCAATGTGACCAACCAACCCTGCAATGTGAACAACCCCGGAATGTGACCAACCAAGCCTGCAATGTGACCAACCCCGGAATGTGACCAACCAACCCTGCAATGTGACCAACCAATCCTGCAATGTGACCAACCCTGCAATGTGACCAACCCTGGAATGTGACCAACCAACCCTGCAATGTGACCATCCCCGGAATGTGACCATCCAATCCTGCAATGTGACCAACCCTGTAATGTGATCAACCGTGTAATGTGACCAACCCTGTAATGTGACCAACCCTGTAATGTGACCAACCCTGTAATGTGACCAACCCTGTAATGTGACCAACCCTGTAATGTGACCAACCCTGTAATGTGACCAACCCTGTAATGTGACCAACCCTGCAAGGTGACCAACCCTGCAATGTGACCAACCAACCCTGCAATGTGACCAACCCTGGAATGTGACCAACCAACCCTGCAATGTGACCAACCCCGGAATGTGACCAACCAACCCTGCAATGTGACCAACCAACCCTGCAATGTGACCAACCAATCCTGCAATGTGACCAACCCTGCAATGTGACCAACCCTGCAATGTGACCAACCAACCCTGCAATGTGACCAACCCTGGAATGTGACCAACCCTGGAATGTGACCAACCCTGCAATGTGACCAACCAACCCTGCAATGTGACCAACCCCGGAATGGGACCAACCAACCCTGCAATGTGACCAACCCCGGAATGTGACCAACCAACCCTGCAATGTGACCAACCCTGTAATGTGACCAACCCTGTAATGTGACCAACCCTGCAATGTGACCAACCAACCCTGCAATGTGACCAACCCCGGAATGTGACCAACCAACCCTGCAATGTGACCAACCAATCCTGCAATGTGACCAACCAACCCTGCAATGTGACCAACCCCGGAATGTGACCATCCAATCCTGCAATGTGACCAACCCTGTAATGTGATCAACCGTGTAATGTGACCAACCCTGTAATGTGACCAACACTGTAATGTGACTAACCCTGTAATGTGACCAACCCTGTAATGTGACCAACCCTGTAATGTGACCAACCCTGTAATGTGACCAACCCTGTAATGTGACCAACCCTGCAATGTGACCAACCCTGCAATGTGACCAACCAACCCTGCAATGTGACCAACCCTGGAATGTGACCAACCCTGCAATGTGACCAACCAACCCTGCAATGTGACCAACCCCGGAATGTGATCAACCAACCCTGCAATGTGACCAACCCCGGAATGTGACCAACCAACCCTGCAATGTGACCAACCCTGTAATGTGACCAACCCTGTAATGTGACCAACCCTGCAATGTGACCAACCAACCCTGCAATGTGACCAACCCCGGAATGTGACCAACCAACCCTGCAATGTGACCAACCCCGGAATGTGACCAACCAACCCTGCAATGTGACCAACCAACCCTGCAATGTGACCAACCCCGGAATGTGACCAACCAACCCTGCAATGTGACCAACCCCGGAATGTGACCAACCAACCCTGCAATGTGACCAACCCCGGAATGTGACCAACCAACCCTGCAATGTGACCAACCAATCCTGCAATGTGACCAACCAACCCTGCAATGTGAACAACCCCGGAATGTGACCAACCAAGCCTGCAATGTGACCAACCCCGGAATGTGACCAACCAACCCTGCAATGTGACCAACCAATCCTGCAATGTGACCAACCCTGCAATGTGACCAACCCTGGAATGTGACCAACCAACCCTGCAATGTGACCATCCCCGGAATGTGACCATCCAATCCTGCAATGTGACCAACCCTGTAATGTGATCAACCGTGTAATGTGACCAACCCTGTAATGTGACCAACCCTGTAATGTGACCAACCCTGTAATGTGACCAACCCTGTAATGTGACCAACCCTGTAATGTGACCAACCCTGTAATGTGACCAACCCTGTAATGTGACCAACCCTGCAAGGTGACCAACCCTGCAATGTGACCAACCAACCCTGCAATGTGACCAACCCTGGAATGTGACCAACCAACCCTGCAATGTGACCAACCCCGGAATGTGACCAACCAACCCTGCAATGTGACCAACCAACCCTGCAATGTGACCAACCAATCCTGCAATGTGACCAACCCTGCAATGTGACCAACCCTGCAATGTGACCAACCAACCCTGCAATGTGACCAACCCTGGAATGTGACCAACCCTGGAATGTGACCAACCCTGCAATGTGACCAACCAACCCTGCAATGTGACCAACCCCGGAATGGGACCAACCAACCCTGCAATGTGACCAACCCCGGAATGTGACCAACCAACCCTGCAATGTGACCAACCCTGTAATGTGACCAACCCTGTAATGTGACCAACCCTGCAATGTGACCAACCAACCCTGCAATGTGACCAACCCCGGAATGTGACCAACCAACCCTGCAATGTGACCAACCCCGGAATGTGACCAACCAACCCTGCAATGTGACCAACCAACCCTGCAATGTGACCAACCCCGGAATGTGACCAACCAACCCTGCAATGTGACCAACCCCGGAATGTGACCAACCAACCCTGCAATGTGACCAACCCTGTAATGTGACCAACCCTGTAATGTGACCAACCCTGCAATGTGACCAACCAACCCTGCAATGTGACCAACCCCGGAATGTGACCAACCAACCCTGCAATGTGACCAACCCCGGAATGTGACCAACCAACCCTGCAATGTGACCAACCAACCCTGCAATGTGACCAACCCCGGAATGTGACCAACCAACCCTGCAATGTGACCAACCCCGGAATGTGACCAACCAACCCTGCAATGTGACCAACCCCGTAATGTGACCAACCAACCCTGCAATGTGACCAACCCTGTAATGTGACCAACCCTGTAATGTGACCAACCCTGCAATGTGACCAACCAACCCTGCAATGTGACCAACCCCGGAATGTGACCAACCAACCCTGCAATGTGACCAACCCCGGAATGTGACCAACCAACCCTGCAATGTGACCAACCCTGCAATGTGACCAACTCCGGAATGTGACCAACCAACCCTGCAATGTGACCAACCCCGGAATGTGACCAACCAACCCTGCAATGTGACCAACCCCGGAATGTGACCAACCAACCCTGCAATGTGACCAACCAATCTTGCAATGTGACCAACCAACCCTGCAATGTGACCAACCCCGGAATGTGACCAACCAACCCTGCAATGTGACCAACCCCGGAATGTGACCAACCAACCCTGCAATGTGACCAACACCGGAATGTGACCAACCAACCCTGCAATGTGACCAACCAACCCTGCAATGTGACCAACCCCGGAATGTGACCAACCAACCCTGCAATGTGACCAACCTCGGAATGTGACCAACCAACCCTGCAATGTGACCAACCCCGGAATGTGACCAACCAACCCTGCAATGTGACCAACCCCGGAATCTGACCAACCAACCCTGCAATGTGACCAACCAACCCTGCAATGTGACCAACCCCGGAATGTGACCAACCAACCCTGCAATGTGACCAACCCCGGAATGTGACCAACCAACCCTGCAATGTGACCAACCCTGTAATGTGACCAACCCTGCAATGTGACCAACCAACCCTGCAATGTGACCAACCCCGGAATGTGACCAACCAACCCTGCAATGTGACCAACCCTGTAATGTGACCAACCCTGTAATGTGACCAACCCTGTAATGTGACCAACCCTGTAATGTGACCAACCCTGTAATGTGACCAACCCTGTAATGTGACCAACCTTGTAATGTGACCAACCCTGTAATGTGACCAACCCTGCAATGTGACCAACCCTGCAATGTGACCAACCAACCCTGCAATGTGACCAACCCTGGAATGTGACCAACCCTGGAATGTGACCAACCCTGCAATGTGACCAACCAACCCTGCAATGTGACCAACCCCGGAATGTGACCAACCAACCCTGCAATGTGACCAACCCCGGAATGTGACCAACCAACCCTGCAATGTGACCAACCCTGTAATGTGACCAACCCTGTAATGTGACCAACCCTGCAATGTGACCAACCAACCCTGCAATGTGACCAACCCCGGAATGTGACCAACCAACCCTGCAATGTGACCAACCCTGCAATGTGACCAACCTCGGAATGTGACCAACCAACCCTGCAATGTGACCAACCCCGGAATGTGACCAACCAACCCTGCAATGTGACCAACCCCGGAATGTGACCAACCAACCCTGCAATGTGACCAACCCCGGAATGTGACCAACCAACCCTGCAATGTGACCAACCCTGCAATGTGACCAACCCCGGAATGTGACCAACCAACCCTGCAATGTGACCAACCCCGGAATGTGACCAACCAACCCTGCAATGTGACCAACCCCGGAATGTGACCAACCAACCCTGCAATGTGACCAACCCTGTAATGTGACCAACCCTGTAATGTGACCAACCCTGTAATGTGACCAACCCTGTAATGTGACCAACCCTGTAATGTGACCAACCCTGTAATGTGACCAACCCTGTAATGTGACCAACCCTGTAATGTGACCAACCCTGTAATGTGACCGACCCTGTAATGTGACCAACCCTGTAATGTGACCAACCCTGTAATGTGACCAACCCTGTAATGTGACCAACCCTATGTGACCAACCCTGTAATGTGACCAACCCTGTAATGTGACCAACGATTCTCTGTCAAGACGTCTCAAAATTCAGCAATGCAACGGGCCTCTTTGCCCCGCTTGACTCCTCCCCCTCTCACACCATTGCCCGTTCCCCCTTTCCCAACCGTTTCCCATCCTCCCTCCCTCCCCCCCACCACCAGTACCCCAGCCGCGCGACTCCCTTCCCCCATACACCCTCCTCCTCGCCTCCCTCTGTGCCCCTGCCTGCCGCCTCTCCATGCTGGCCAACGGTCGCTGCGATCAGGCCTGCAACGTGGCTCTCTGTCACTTTGACGGGGGGGACTGCGCTTGCCGTGGCTCTGGCAGCGGGGGTGTCGGGAGCAGCGTGAGCAGCGGCACTGCTGCTGCTGGTGCTGTTGGTGGGAGTGGAGGGAGCAGCAGTAGTGGTGTCGCTGGTGATGGTGCGAGTGGGGGTGGGAGCGTGGGAGGAGGAGTGGGTGTGCAGTGGTGTGCGTGCCCCGTGCTGCAGATTCGGGGTGATGATGGAGGTACGTGCGTGCTGTTCTTTGAGACTCGTAAGCGAGTATATTTTCCCTTCAATTTACTGCTGTGGTGTGCGTGCCCGGTGCTGCAGATACGGGGAGATGTTGGAGGTATGTGCGTGCGTGCGTGCACTTGTCTTTTAGACTCCTCAAGAGGTAAACGACTATAGTTTCCCCTCACTCCCCGTCCCGCTCCCTCCCTCCTCGTGCCTCCCCCTCCTCTTGCTCTCCATCCCTCAGCCTGCTGTGAGGCAGCAGGGGCGGGGATGGGAATAAAGGTGCCATTCAGTCTGCGCAGGTTTGGCTCCACCATGCATTCTCTCGACTCCATGCGCAGCAGCACCGATACTGCTCTGCCGCGCGTTGTTTCCGAGTACAACAGGTGAGTGGATGCTCCCCCCCTTGTTTTACACCGTTGTTTTGTGACGCAATCGCCTCCTTACATGCATGCATGCACACATGCGTGCTCTGCATACTGCCTCTCCTGCCCCTCCTTCCTCTCCCCTCGCTCGCAGGGTGCTGCTGAAGTCTCATCACGTTCAATACTGCTGGAACTCAGACTGTGTCTTTAGGCAACTAACAGACAAGGATGCGTGATTCCCTCCATCCTTCTTTCTTTTTCCCGTGTCCCTCCCCTCTCCTTGCAGGGTACTAATGGGACTCATCATCGTGCAATACCGTTGGGACTCCGCTGACTGTGCCACGAGCAGGTGAGTGAGTGGGCCACCCTCATGGGCACGAGCATTTGAGCTGTGTGCATTGCTCAGCCTTATGCACACAATTTCAGGCATAAGGCTCTGTTCTAACCAGGTGGCCATTCGCGACATCTCTGCCTGCCATCGCTGATAATCACTAAGTGGCTGCCACTGCTCGCTCATTCAGGGCGTTCGGAGTGAATCCGATCTTCCTCCCCTCCTCCTCTCTTTACAATGCCAACCCCACTCTGCCTTCCTCCCCTGCACCCCCAACCTGACGTGCAGGTTTCACTTCCAGGACTTGTGTGTGAGGGGCGAGTCATCCAGGGCGTTCTTGCAGCTCTCAAGCCTAAAGCGTTTTCTCTCATAACCCCCTTCCCTTCTCCCACACTTCCAACCTTATGTGCAGGTTCCATTTCCAGGACTTGTGTGTGAGGGGCGAGTCATCCAAGGCCTTCGGGGTCAACCCGGTCTTCCTGCCATCCTCCTCACTTTACAACGCCAACGCAGCCGCCAACACCTCAGCCTACACCAACGAGTCCTTCGCCAACCCCTTTGAGCTCAACGCCAAGGGGCTGCCCTACGGCTTCCAGCAGCTGGTGAGACTCTACTTAAGGCAGTAGGGCTCTGGCCTTCCTGTGTGAGGGCGTTTCTGGGACTCTGGCACGCTGCTGCCAGTTCTGCCTCCCGCTGCCTCACTCGCGTGTCACCAAATATGCACTTCGTGCATATGCGATGACAGTGATGCGCAGGTGTAGATTGAAGTGTAGCAGATGTTGTAATGGGATTCGAGGTGTAGTAAGGGGGAGGACGAATTTGACGTTGGGAATGGGAGGGAAAGCACCGAGGGGCGAAATGCATTGAACCAATCAGGGAGGACCAGCCCAAACTCGAGTCGCACATGGTGAAATGTGCGACTTGAGCCTGGGCAAGGTAAGTTCAGTCACGAACACACAATCCATGCTTTCCGCTTGTTATTCTCTCGTCATAGTGAAATCAGTTGCTTTAGATCCTACATCCAGCAGCACGCCACTAGGAGGGAACCTACGGGGTGAGGGAGGGAACTCCTTCACTCGCGTTTGACATGAATCTGTAACATTGTCCCCTGCTCCCGTCCCTTTCTTTAAAATCCCCTCTTTATCTGACATCTAGCCCGGCAGCAGCCGCTTCCCGCTGGTGTTTGACGTGAATCTGGACAATGGCGCGGCTTTGTAGGGTAGGCGCCTCAAAGAACCCCGAGACACCTAAAAGAGATCTTCCTTTCTCCCCCTTCCCCTTGCTGAATCCAGCCCGGCAGCAGCCGCTTCCCACTGGTGTTTGACGTGAATCTGGACAACGGGGGGGCCACGCGCCGGCTGCAGTACCTGGTGGATGGATTCTTCGTTGACAACTACACGCGCAGCATCGATGTCGTGCTCATCACTCGTAATGGTGAGACATTTGTTGATGCTGTGCTGCTGTATGCTCATCTCTCATCACTTACTGGTGGTTGATATTGGGGCGCCGGCTGCAGTACCTGGTGGATGGATTCTTCGTTGACAACTACATGCGCAGCATTGATGTCGTGCTCATCACTCGCAATGGTGAGAGGCAACGGTGAGATGCGGTGATGAGGTGTGCTCATGACAATGGGGCAGCCGCACGGCGGCTGCAGTACCTTGTGGACGGATTCTTCGTTGACAACTACACGCGGAGCATTGATGTCGTGCTCATCACTCGCAACGGTGAGAGTGAGGCGATGTGTGCTTCACATGCAGCAGCAGTGATGAAACCACGCATCCGCTGAGCTTCAACCTCTCTACTGCAATTTCCCACACCCTCTCTCCTGCTCTCTCTCCCACACCCTCTCTCCTGCTCTCTCTCCCACACCCTCTCTCCTGCTCTCTCTCCCTCACCCTCTATCCTGCTCTCTCTCCCTCACCCTCTCTCCTGCTCGCCCCTGCCGCTCAGCCAATGGCTTTCCCTCTCACCCCTGCTTCTCTCGGCTCTCCCTGTCCCTCTGCCGCCCAATGAGCAACTGTTCAATTCCACCGCCATCTATGCTCCCTCATTCCCGCTGACCACTTTTCCTCTCCTCTCCTCCCCTTTTCCCACTCACCCCTGCCCCTCGTCCCTCTTGCCCCGCCAGCCAATGAGCAACTGTTCACAGCCACCAAAGCCACCCTCTCCCTCCAACCGGGTGGCAGCATGGTCGCTACCTTCCAAATCCAGCCAGTCAACGTGGAGTACTACGACCTGAATGAGACAAGCAACGTGATACGACTCGTCCTGGAGCTGCTGTTCGTGGCCGGCGTGGTTTGGAATGTACTGGAGGAGGTGAAGGAGATGATGTGGATTTGGAAGGTGCAGCGAAGGTCCTTCTGGCACTACTGGCGGCAGGGGTGGAATTGGGTGGACTGGCTCTCCATCTCTGTCCAGATTCTCTGCATCTGCATGTGGTGAGTGAAAGGAAAGTGGTGATGCAATGGCGTTGCTGGTGTGGTGGTTACTGTGGAGTGTAGACTGAGAAGGAATTGTGGATTGAGCTTTACCATGCAACACCGCTACCACATCTACTACATTCTCGACGAGTACCCGCGCTACTGGGCGCTCCCCAACCCGCCCCTCTCCAATGCTCAGTCCCTCCCTGCCTTACCCACTCCTCCCCCTCCCCAACGCACAGGATATCAATGGCGGTGTTATCAGGGCAAAGCTTCAACATGCAGGCACGATACAACATCTACTACACCCTGGATGAGTACCCGCGCTACTGGGCGCTCCCCAACCCGCCCTCGGGGTATCTGGCTGCAGTTTCTGCTGCGGACAAACTCGGCAGTATCATCAACACCTGCTCTGTCTACTTCGCCCTGCAAGGCATGAAGTGAGTGCGGTGAAGTGATTGTGAGTGCGGTGAAGTGATTGTGAGTGCGGCTTGCAATGTGCGGCTTGGAGTGAGTGTTGTCCTCCCCAACTCTCCCTCGGGGTACCTGGCTGCTGTCGCTGCTGCCGACAAACTGGGCAGTATCATCAGCACAAGCTGGGCAGTATCATCAGCACAAGCTGGGCAGTATCATCAGCACAATCTGGGCAGTATCATCAGCACAAGCTGGGCAGTATCATCAGCACAAGCTGGGCAGTATCATCAGCACAAGCTGGGCAGTATCATCAGCACAAGCTCTGCCGACTTCGCCCTTGAGGGCATGAAGTGAGTGTCTTGTAAGGACCTGGTTTCAGTGAGAAAATTGCACTGCACGCTTTGCCATGGGCATTCTCTGCATTTTCACCTGCCCCCACCACCTGCCTCTTGCCCATGGGTCCTTCTTCATCCGCCTTTTCCCCATCTCACCTACACCTCTTCCACACCTCAGTCCCTGTCCCCATCACCCACACCATCCCTTGGGCCCGTCAGTGTGTTCATAGTGGTTCTCTGAGTGCTCAAGCTGATGGGACTTCCAGCCGCACATGGGCATCATCTCTTACTCCTCAGGCCTCTCCCCATGCCCCCCTATCTCTCCCATGCCGCACACAACAGTGTCTTCATCATGGTTCTTCACGTGCTCAAGCTCATGGACTTCCAGCCGCACATGGCCATCATCACTCGCTCCATCCGCGTGGCTCTCCCATACCCCCTACCAGCGTCGTTATAATGGTGCTGCGAGTCCTCAAGCTGATGGACTTCCAGCCGCTCATGGGCATCATAACTCGCTCCATCCGGCCTTTCCCCATGCGCCCCATGTGTTCAGCTCCATCCCCCCTTCCCCGTCTTTTCCACCCACTCAACAGTGTCTTTATCATGGTGCTGCGAGTCCTCAAGCTCATGGACTTCCAGCCGCACATGGGCATCATCACTCGTTCCATCCGTGTGGCTCTGCCTTCCATCCTGCATTTCTTCCTGCTCGCCCTCGCCATCTTCCTCGCCTATGCCACCTACGCATACCTTGTGTTCGGCATGACCATGGCGCAGGTGTGTACTGCGGCATGCTGTGTCTCGTGAGCTCTCTCCCTTTCTTTCTCCACTTCTTCCTGCTCGCCCTCGCTGTCTTCCTCGCCTATGCCACCTACGCCTACCTTGTGTTTGGCATCACCATGGCGCAGGTGCATGTGTGTGTCAGCTTCTGCCGCAGGAGGAAGTCATTGCCACGACGTCTAATGACAAGACTGTGTGCTTGTGGGATGTGTGGAAGGTAGTGGGAGGGGGAGGGGGAGGAAGGGGAGAAGGAATGGGAGGAGGGTGAGGAGGGAGACGGAGGGCGAAGTGCAGGGAGCGGGTGGTGGGTCTCCGTTGTTCAGCGCAGCTCATTCCGCGCCAGCAGCCTCTCCTCTCATGAAGCTTCCGCATGACCGTGCAATCAACTCTGCCTACTTCTCACCCAATGGGGCCTTCCTTGTCTCCACCAAGTGTGCGCCCTTTCCTGCTGCCCCTTGCTCCTCGCTCCTGCACCTCTCTTGTCCCCCTCTCTTGTACTCCTCTCTTGTGCACTTCTCTTGTGCACCTCTCTTGTGCACCTCCCTTGTGCACCTCTCTTGTGCTCCTCTCTTGTGCTCCTCTCTTGAGCTCCTCTCCCACCCTCACCTTCCCTTCACTTTCCCTCCTTGCTTTTCACCGCTTCTGTTTCGCCCCACCACCGCTTCTAAACCCTTCCCTTGCCCCATCACCAGTTATGGAGGCTCCATCCGCCTGTGGACCAGGGACCAGTGGAAGCATGCCGTGTTGACACCCTCCAAGCCCAATCCTGCGTCTCCCAGGGTTATCTCCAGAATGCCCTCTCATTCCATCTCCGGCCCCACTTGCCCCCCCCACACCCCCATAAGCGTGCACTTGTCTCTCACTTATGTGTGGTGCTCATGCAACGATAGGCTGCTCATGCGTGGTTGGGCAGACAAGTGCACACTTATGGGGGTGTGGGGGGGTCAAGTGGGGCCGGAGATAGAATGAGAGGGCGTTCTAGAAATATCCTCGGGAAACGCAGGATTGGGCTTGGAGGGTGTCAACACGGCATGCTTCCACTGGTCCTTGGTCCATAGGCGAATGGAGCCCTCGTAACTGGTGATGGGGCCAGGGAAGGGTACGGTGGTGGGCCGAGACAGAAGCGGTGAAAAGCAAGGAGGGAAAGCGAAGGAAGGTGAGGGTGGGAGAGAAGCACAAGAGAGGTGCACAAGGGAGGTGCAAAAGAGAGGTGTACAAGAGAAGTGCACAAGAGAGGAGCACAAAAGAGGAGCACAAGAGAGGTGCAGGAGCGAGGAGCAAGGGGCAGCCGGAAAGGGCGCACACCTGGTGGAGACAAGGAAGGCCCCATTGGCTGAGAAGTAGGCAGAGTTGACTGCACGGCCGTGCAAAAACTTCATGAGAGGAGAGGCTGCTGGCGCGGAATGAGCTGTGCTGAACAACGGAGACCCACCACCCGCTCCCTGCCCTTCGCCCTCCGTCTCCCTCCTCACCCTCCTCCCATTTTTCCTCCTCCTCCCCCTCCCACCATCTTCCGCACATCCCACAGGCACACAGTCTTGGCATTAGACGCCGTGGCAATGACTTCCTCCTGCCCCGGCAGAAGCTGACAGTGGTGTGTGTGTGTGGGCTGCGTCCATTCCTGATGATATGTGTGTATATGGCAGGCAGGCAGGTGAGCCCCCTCCCCTCCATCCTCCTTGCCCTCGCTGTCTTCCTCGCCTATGCCACCTACGCCTACCTTGTCTTTGGCATGACCATGGCGCAGGTGCGTCTTAGGAATGACCATGGCTTGATCATCATGTGTGCGTGTGTGGCTGGGAGTGCAGGCAGGCATGTGAGCCCTCCCCTCCATCCTGCACTTCGTCCTCCTCGCCCTTGCTGTCTTCCTCGCCTATGCCACCTATGCTTATCTCGTGTTTGGGATGACCATGGTGAGGTGAGTGGTACGTGCATGCTATGTCCGTGTGCGTGTGGGCTCGAGGGCAAGCCGGGGAACAGGCAGATAATCTAAGGCTGACGGGCAAGCCGAGGAACAGGCAGATAATCTAAGGCTGACGGGCAAGCCGAGGAACAGGCAGATAATCTAAGGCTGACGGGCAAGCAATCGCCTTCGTTGTCTCTTCGCCTATGCTACCAATGCATATCTCGTGTTCGGGATAACCATGGCGCAGGTGCGTACGGATGGGCCTGCGTAACATCGGTCTGCACTTAGCAGAAGGTCTTCCAATAACTGCACGGCTGGCAGGCCATGGGTGCTGTTCCTTTTGAGGCGCCTCAAAAGTCCTCCCTGTACTGACAGTATGTGTGCAGACGTACAACACCCTGCTTCTTAGTTTTGAGACGTCTGACAGTATGTGTGCAGACGTACAACACCCTGCTTCTTCCCCTCTGCCACGACCAGTTCAGCACACTATTGGGGGCCATGCTGACTATGTCATGTTGATGACTATTTCCCTGGAGTGACCGATTTGCTCCAGCCCCTTTTGAAGGAACACTATCCCACCTTATCTTATGTCTTCGACAGAAGCTCCTCTCGGCAGTTTCTTAATATTCGTTAGACATTTGTTCACCTTCTCGGTTTGTTTATCCAAATGACATTCCGAATCAAGGTTTTCAACGCCAGTTCAAATCAGGAAGCAATTTACGCCGCCAACCTATTGCTCCTTGCCGAGCCAAGAATTGTGGAAGGCGGAGCCAAGTGTTCGTGAAACGAACCCGCCACGGACCAGCACTGACGTCAACGTTGCGAACAGTGCTGGTCCGCAGCGGGTTGGTTTTACGAACAATTGGCTCTGCCTTCCAGATGTATTGGCTCGGCAATGGAGCTGGAGGTTGACGGTGTATTTTCTTCCTGATTTCAACTGGCGTTGGGAACGCTGATTCAAAAGGCTATTCAGTTAAACAATGGAGAAGCTGGCTGAATGTCGAACGACTACTAAGGGATTACTGAGGGGAGCTTCTGTCATGTACGTAAGATAAAGAGGGACAGTGTTCCTTCACAAGCGGCTGGAGCAAGTAGGTCATTCCAAGGAAATTGTTGTCAACATGACATACGTGTAACGTGTGTGACGATGAATCATGCCCTGCCTTTTGAGACGTCTCAACAGATGAATCACGCCCTGCCTTTTGAGACGTCTCAACAGATGAATCACGCCCTGCCTTTTGAGACGTCTCAACAGATGAATCATGCCCTGCCTTTTGAGACGTCTCAACAGATGAATCATGCCCTGCCTTTTGAGACGTCTCAACAGATGAATCATGCCCTGCCTTTTGAGACGTCTCAACAGATGAATCATGCCCTGCCTTTTGAGACGTCTCAACAGATGAATCATGCCCTGCAGACGTGTTTCCTCATCATACTCAACGGCAACAGCGTGCGGAACTTCTTTCAGCACATGGAGAGCTGGCAATATGCGTGCAGATGTATCACGCCCTGCCTCCCCCCTCCCTCCCTACCCTAAATTGCAGTTCAGCACGCTATGGGGAGCCATGCAGACGTGCTTCTTGATCATCCTCAACGACAACAGCGTGCAGTACTTCTTTCAACACATGGAGAGCTGGCAATACGTTGCAGCGATGATCTTCTGGTTCTCCTTCGTCATCATCTTCTTCTTTGTGCTCTTCAACTTCCTCATTGCGATCATCGTCGACGCGTTTATGGATGTCAAGGTGAGTGAGTCAACGCTAGTCAGACCCTAGTCAACAGTGGTCAATGCGAGTCAACCATAGTGATCTTCTGGTTCTCCTTTGTCATCATCTTCTTCTTCGTCCTCTTCAACTTCCTCATCGCCATCATCGTCGATGCTTTTATGGATGTCAGAGTGAGGCAACGCAAGTCATTTCCAGTCAACAACTAGTCAACGCAATTCAGCAGTGGTCAATGCGAGTCAATAGCAATCACCTTCTGGTTCTCCCTCCTCGCTCCGTTCCTCACTTGCCCCACTTGCACGTTTCTGTCAGGATGCAGCAGAGAGTGCATCAGCAAAATAAGAGGACATGTATCTCATCGAGCTTCGCTTCTTCCCTCTTTACTGCTGTCCGTACTCTATTCTGTTCTATTCTATTCACCCTCCCTCCCATGCCCCACGTGCTATATTTCGGCAGGATGCAGCAGAGAGTGCATCTGCGATCTACGAGGATATGTATCTCATCGTTCTGCGCTTCTTCCGCCGCGTCGCAACACCTTATAGCGAGTACAGCCGCCTTCTGCGGCACCTCATTCGCCTGGGAGCCGTGGACACGGCACACACAGTCATGGAGGTGAGTGTGGATGAGGGCAGCTGGCAGGGGGGGAAGAGCCACACGCTTCCTTTCTTTCATGCCTGCTGCGGTACCTCATTCACGTGAGAGCCGTGGACACAGCCCACACAGTCATGGAGGTGAGTGGCTGTGAGGGCAGCTAACAGGAGGGGAAAGGGGCGCCTGTCCATCCTGCTAGCTGATCAGGTCTCCCGCCTGCTGCAGCACCTCATTGGCGTGGGAGCCGTGGATACAGCCCACACGGTCATGGAGGTGAGTGGGTGTGAGGGCAGGACAGGGCAAGGGAAGGCTGCTGCTACTGCCACTGCCCCCTGAACAAACCTCAATTGCATGCTCTGTGCTTCACTTATTCCCTTCCTCTCTTCAGAAAAGCCTGTGACAATCGGCACAGCAGAGTGTTGCGAGGAGCCTTCACCACAGCAGGGCAATGGAGGAAGGCCACTTTCGCCACTTGATCAAGCCCCTAACTTCATGCTCTGAGCCTGTTCGTATTTGCTTCCTTCGTTCTGTGCCTTTGTTTGAACTGATCTTTCCTCTCCTCAGAAGAGCCTATGGCAATCGGCCCAGCAGAGCCTTGCTAAGAGCCTTCACCACAGCCCGGCAAGGGAAGGCGGCAGCAGGCATGTGAGCAGTGGTGGGGGCAATGGCAACAGCAGCGGCGGCAGTGACAGTAGGGGAAGTGATAGGGGCAGCAAGAATGGCAGTATGGGCAGCAGGGGCGGCAGCAGGGAGGGCGTGAAGGAATCATTAGTGGAGGATGGTGTGGATGATGGTGGGTCAAGGAGAGGCGGATTGGAGGATGGGCGACAAGGGGGAGGGGGTGTTGGGGAGGAGGGGAAGCTGGGGATGGAAGGGGGAGAGGCTAATGCTCTGGTAAAGGTGCAGCCGCGGGGGTTGATTGATGGTAAAGTGGTGATGAGGGTGCAAGGGCAGGGGATGGTTGACACAGAGGGGATGAATGCAGGTGTGAGTGAGAGAGAGGAGGAGAAGAAGCAGTTGGGGATGCAAGGGAGACATGGTAAAGCTCTGGTTAGGGTGCAACGGCAGGGGACGGTGGAAGCAAAGGGAATGGGTTCAGGCATGAGTGAGAGAGGGGAGGAGGGGAAGTTGGGGATGGAAGGGGGAGATGCTAAAGCTCTGGTACGGGTGCAGCGGCAGGGAATGGTGGATGGTAAAGCGGTGATGAGGGTGCACGGGCTGGGGATGGTTGACGCAGAGGGGATGAATGCAGGTGTGAGTGAGAGAGAGGAGGAGGGGACGAAGCTGGGGACGGAAAGGAGAGACTCTAAAGCTTTGGTAAGGGTGCAGCGTCAGGGAATGGTGGATGGTAAAGCGGTGATGAGGGTGCACGGGCAGGGGATGTTGGGGTTGGGAGGGATGTTGGACGCAACTTCTGAGGCGCCTCAGAGGCTGCAAGGGGCAGGGGCGGAAGCTTTCAGAATGGACACAATCACTGAGGCGCCTCAAAGGTTGGAAGGGGCAGGGGGTGAAGGTCCGATCAGAGTGCAAGACGAGGGGATGGCAGAAGCAGAGAGAATACATTTAGGTGGGAGTGAGAGAGACGAGGGGGGTGAGGGTCTTAAGAGAGGCACGGATGTGGTGGGAAATGGTGGGAGTAGGATCTCTGGAGCATCTGCTGCTGAAGGTACGGAGAGCAGCAAGGGAAGCAGCGGCAGCAGCACCAGGGAAGGAGGCAGCAGCAGCATTAGCAGCGGCGGCAGCAATATCAGCACGTTGGGGACAAGCAGCGGTAGCGGCAGCAGAGCGGGGAGTACGGGGGTAGGGAGCAAGGATGGGGAGCCGCACCCAAGAGCGGGGAGTGCGATGGTGCGGTCGCTCCGAAGGCGAGTAAGCTTCTGGCGTGAGGATTCACTGGAGGAGCGACAGAGAGTGGTGGCCGTGGGGGGGAGACACCTCAACGCGCTCTCCCTCTCTGCTATTCTGCAGCGTGCACTTGCCAGAAAGGTGTGTTGGTGGGTGCGGTGCTGGGTGGGTGGGTGGTGTGGGCGGTGCAGGGGGTGAGCAGGCGGATGAGCATCTGGTGTCTGGATTCGCTGGAGGAGAGGCAGCGGGTGGTGGCCGAGGGGGGCAGGCACCTCAACGCCCTTTCCCTCTCTGCTATTCTGCAACGCGCACTCGCCCGAAAGGTGTGTTGGTGGGAGCAGTGGTGGGTGGGTGGTGTGGGCGGTGCAGGGGGTGAGCAGGCGGATGAGCTTCTGGCGGGAGGATTCACTGGAGGAGTGACAGAGAGTGGTGGCCGTGGGGGGGAGGCACCTCAACGCGCTTTCTCTCTCTGCTATTTCGCAGCGCGCACTCGCGAGAAAGGTGTGTTGGTGGGTGCGGTGCTGGGTGGGTTGTTGCGTGTGGTGGTGCATGCAGTGATAGGGGTGGGGTGATGGGTGGTGCGTGTGGAAAGGATCCTACTCTCATATGACTCTTCAGCTATCTCAACCTCACCCAACCCCACCCCACCCAACCTAATCAGAACATCTTATCACCTACTGTCCCTCCCTGCTACACCTACCCACCATCTGGTCTCCATCGACCTGCTCGCTCTTGTGAAGGTGCTTCTCCCAGAGGCACTTACGCCCACACCTGTCTTCACCCTCTCAACCCCGCACAACCCCATCCCACCCAACAGCTGCGGTCTGTCCCTCCCCCCTTCACCCACCACCTGGACTCCATTGACCTCCCTGCACTAGTCAAGGTCCGAAACGGGAGAGAACCTGTCACACTCGAAGCTCATGGCCCGGGCAAGCTCACACCAGTCCTCACCTCTCTCGACCCCACACAAACCCACCCAACCCCACAGCTGCGCTCTGTTCCTCCCCGTTACAGCCACCATCTGAACTCCATCGACCTGCCTGCACTCGTGAAATTCCTTCTCTCCGAGGCAGGAGAGGACCTTTCTTGCCCTGGCCTCATGGCACAGGCAAGTTCACAACTGTCTGCACCCCTCTCAACCCCACCCAACCCCACCCCAACTCACAGCTGCGCTCTGTCCCTCCTGGCTACACCCACCACCTGGAATCCATCGACCTGCCTGCACTCGTCAAAGTCCTTCTCTCAGAGGCAGGAGAGAACCTGTCACGCTCCGACCTCATGGCTCGTGCAAGCTCAGCTGTGGCCATGTCTCGGCAGAAGCGAGACATGCTGGCATTGCAAGAGCGCATGGGAGCCCTTCAAACCGACCTGACTCAAAGGTTTGATGTGCTCGAACGTGGAATTCTGGACCGGTTGCCGAACCAAGGCCGTGCCCAGGTGGTTCGGGTGGTATCGCCGGACCAGGTGCGGCGGGAGGTGGATGCTGCCCGGGAGGAGGCTTGGCAGGAGGCCTGGGAGAAAGCTCGGCAGGAGATTGAGGAGGCTCGGCGGGAGGCACGGGAGGCTCGGGAGGAGGCTCGGCGGGAGCGGGAAGGTTTGGAGAGGTGCTGAGGGAGATCAGGAGAGAGATGCAATTGCTTCGGGTGTTGGGGGAGAGGAGAGAGGAGGGACGAGGGGAGGAGAGAGGGGAGGAGAGAGGAGAGGAGAGAGGGGAGGAGGGAGGAGGGAATGTGAAAGTGGGACCTTAACTCCTCATCAAACTCGGAGGTACACCTCTGTAGTATGGTTTTGCTGAAGCGATTCCAGCAATATGCGTGATGTGCGCAGAGGTTGCTGTGCCATGTTGCTTGCTGTACAATGTACTGAACACAAACTGATTCCAGTCTGATTTCACCCACGCCCTCATCCTCCTTACAACGTGTCCAGGCATCTTGTATGTATGTACTCCTTGCCGTGGGCTTTGTATTTCGAGCAATCCACGTCTACTGCATCTCAGCATCAACATCTAGACAGGTAACAACTCCACATCACTTTGAATTGCAGAATTTCCCCCTCAGCACCGAAATTTCAGGTATAAGGGCGTGTAACAATGTTGCTACTTTTTATTCCGGAGGGTCCACAATTCGGACCGTCCGGAATAAAAAGTAGCAATTCGGACGGTCCACAATTCGCTATCCGGACGGTCCACAATTCGGACCGTCCGGATAGCGAAGGGTTAACAATGACGTGATTTATCGTTAGTATGTTCGCAAGTGCCTTTGCGACGACGCTAAAAACTCGTACGGTAATGACACTTTTCCCAACTTCAATGGTTCGCAACGTCAGAAACGGACTGTCTGAAACGCATTCGCACCGTCCGAAAGTCTTCGCACGAGACTGGCGCACGAAGTCGAGAAAGTTTTACAAAATTCGAGTCACATCGTCAAATGTCATGAAGAGGTTTCCGCGAACAATACGAAACTTGCGAACCATGTTACGAGCAGTACAGTGCTTCTCGCGATGCTACAAAACTCGCAAATTTGAGGAGACTTGAAAAAGTGTCACTATCCACTTTGGACGGTATCAAAGTTACGAACCGTCGATTCGGACGGTCCCATCCTGGTTATTAGAACCGTCCGAATGAAAAAAAATCGGACTTTCCGCAAAAACACACGATGGCAAAATGGTTACACACCCTAACTGCGATCCGGTAAATTTTAGCACCCAAATTTGTCAATGAAATCAAAGTGAAGTGTACATCCGGTATAACTGCAATCCTCTGTCAAATCCTTGACTAATCTGCTCTGCAATCATGTTCACCCAATATCTATGGCTAAATGACATTCCAAGCATGAAAGGCCAACTGAATGACTTCACAGCGTTAACCAGCGACAACCAGCCAAAGCAAATAGTGCTGCAGGAGAGCAAATAGCGCCGTAGGAAAGCAAATAGCGCCGCAGGAAAGCAATCAGCGCTGCAGGAAAGCAATCAGCGCTGCAGGAAAGCAATTAGCCCTTCATTAGACCAGTTAGCACCACACCGAAGCAGACAGCCCTGCAGCAAGGCAAGGCGTCCAGCAGGCAAGCAGCGTGGATGGCCACCTCTAGACACAGAGGTAGCCAAAGCAGTTGACAAAGTTCATCACACACTGCAGACCCGTGCAGCGCCAGTCGTTGGGACAGACGACGGGCGAGGCAGAGCCGCACACGGTGGCTGCACGCATACACACAAGCACAGGTGGGCAGGTGGACAGGTGGGCAGGGCAAGGAGAGACAGAGACAGAGACAGAGAGAGAGACAGAGAGAGAGACAGAGACAGAGACAGAGACAGAGACAGAGACAGAGACAGAGACAGAGACAGAGACAGAGACAGAGACAGAGACAGAGACAGAGACAGAGACAGAGACAGAGAGAGAGAGAGAGACAGAGACAGAGACAGAGACAGAGACAGAGACAGAGAGAGAGAGAGAGAGAGAGAGGGAGAAGACAGTGAGTTGCAAGGGAAAGAAAGGAAGTGCTGAACATGACATGACAACATGACCAGCCTTTCAGCTCCCCTTCTCCTCCCCGGCCTCGCTCCCAGAGCACCCGGCACTTACTGACGCAAGTTAAGGGCAGCGTGGCAGCGCCGACAGCATTAGGCGTGGCAGCAGCAAAGGGCACGGAAGCGTTGACGGATTTTGAGTCGACTAAAAAATAGGTACTTACTGACGCAAGTGAAGGGCAGTGTGGCAGCGCCGACAGCATTGGGTGTGCCTGCGGCGAAGGGTACGGAGGCGTCGACGGTGCAGACGCCGCGGCCGTAGCACAGCATGCCCTGCGCTGTGGTGGACTCGCAGAAATTGCACCCTGTGGTGCGCTGCGCTGTGCCTTTGGTGGTGCACCCGGTGACGGCCGTGAAGCAGTTGTTGCTGGCGCCGCACGAGGTGGCGGTGTTGGCCGGGAAGGGGCCCGAGAGGAAGTTGAAGCTAACGTCTAGGTCCTTGAGTGCTGCTGACACCGGCGGCACGCGGTATGTGAGGTAGTTGTAGGACAGACCGCTGGCGGGAGCAGGACGAGAGGGGGTTGGGTGGGGTGGGGGTGGGGGTGGGGGAGGGGGAGAGCAGGAAGGTTGGAGGAGAGAGGACGGATGGAGGCACAGATATGCTGCCTATTTAATGGCTTGGGACTTCATGAAAATATGATCCGTTTGAGTGAAAACAGGCATGCAAAGGAGCAGGGAAGCGAAGCGCAAGGGGGTGGTGGTGGTTGGAGAGAGAGAGGCACTGACAGGCGGGTGAGCTTGGGCATGCTGATGACTCCAGGAGGCAGACTGCCAAAGAACCAGTTGAAGTCGAGCAGGCTGCAGGAGACGCACCCATGTGCACACACATGCAAAACCAATGCAGCGGGGACGAATGAGAAACGCAAAGAAAAGCACACAAGAGCGTCTGACTAAAACCCTCTTAAACCCTCGGATTTATTCATGGTTAAATTTAAACATATATATATACATATATATGTATAGTTGAAGTTAGTATCGCTCTTTGCTAGCACAACCCAACCTAATGCTGCCCTTCTTCGTGAACAGCGACCCATTGACACACACAACAAAAACCATAGGAAGGTCATGGACAATGGGGATATGATAGCAAGTCAAGATGTGGTGGGGGGTTAAGTTGTCACAACAAGTGGCGCTGTGGGCCGAGTGTGGGCCGAGCTGTGGGCCGAGCTGTAACTCACGGTGGGGCGAGTGGAGGCAGAGCAACCAAATTCACAGCAATGTGTATAGTGGGTATGTCAGGAAGGCAAGATGGGGTGGTGTGGGGGTCAGCTGAAATCGATTTTTGAGTTTACTTTTGAGTTGACTTATGAGTCGACGCAAAAGCTGTGGGTGGGAACTTACAGCACTGCGAGGTTGGGTGGTGCAGGGATCCTGATGGAGAACGTTTTTTAGTCGACTTTTGAGTTGACTTTTGAGTTGACTTTTGAGTCGACTCAAAAGCCGTGGGTGGGAACTTACAACACTGCGAGGTTGGGTGGTGCGGGGATCCTGATGGAGAACGTTTTTGAGTCGACTTTTGAGTTGACTTTTGAGTTGACTTTTGAGTTAAATTTTGAGTCAACTCAAAAGCTCTGGGTGGGAACTTACAGCACTGCGAGGTTGGGCAGTGTGGGGATCCTGATAGAGAACTCGTACAGGCGCGCCCTGAAGAGGTTGGACTTGAGTGAGCTGCAGCACACACGCAGTGCCACACAGGGGGCAGGGGGGGAAGGGAGAGAAAGGAGGGGCACGGCATGCGAAGCGACTCAAATGGAATCCTGCTAGAGAACTCATCCAGGCGCGCCTTGAAGAGGTTGGACTCGAGTGAGCTGCAGCACACACGCAGTGCCACACAGGGGGCAGGGGGGGAAGGGAGAGAAAGGAGGGGCACGGCATGCGAAGCGACTCAAATGGAATCCTGCTAGAGAACTCATCCAGGCGCGCCTTGAAGAGGTTGGACTTGAGTGAGCTGCAGCACGCACGCAGTGCCACATTTGCCCCGTATGCAACCTCCTTTCCCCCTTGGCACCTTTTGCAAAGGGGGATAGGAAGACGGCAAAGATCTTGCATATATGCATGTCAGTTTTAGGTGCTGCAGGATCTTTGCATATATGGATGTCAGTTTTGGGGAAAAACTTGTTCTTACATGATTGTGAGTGCTTGGGCAAAAGTCGTGCTTGCATGCATCTGAGTGCTCACATAAATGTGAATGCTTACATAATTGTGACGCTTAAATAAATGAGACGCTTACATAAATGTGCCAGCTTACATAAGTGTGAATGCTTACATGAAGGTGAGTGCCGTGAGCTTGGTGATGTCAGCATGCAGAATGCCCGACAGCTTCTGACTGTCCAGGGTACTGTATGGGGGGAGGGGAAGGGGTGGTGTGGGAAGGTGGGAGCAAATGGAGAAAGTGGAAGGGGAAGTGAGCTTTGATGGGAGAAGGATGGGGAAACCAATGCAGAGGGGAGGAGAATGAGGCATGCCAAGGACAACACACAAGAGTGTTGGACTGTAACCTCCCTTGTTTCTCCCTGCCCTCCTCTTCATGCCTTCCCTCCCCTTCTTCCCCATTCGAGAGGCAGTTGTGGAAAAGCAAGCCTCGGAACCTTCCCTTCTGTGATCCCATCCCCTCTCCTTCCCCCATCATGCTCACATCTTGACGGGGTTGCCAAGAAAGTCACACTCAACCCTCAACCCTAAACCCTTAACTCCTTTATCTTCCCCCCTCCGTTTCAACCCTTGTGCTCACATCTTGACGGGGTTGCCAAGAGAGTCACACTCAATCCTAAACCCTAAACCCTTACCTTCTTTGATCTCCCCCCCTACATTTCAACCCTCGTGCTGACATCTTGACGGGGTTGCCGAGGGAGTCACACTCAACACCAGTGAAGCCGCCGCCGCCCGAGCTGCCGACAGCAGTGCAGGAGGAGGAGGATGCCCAGTTGGTGTACGTCACTCCCAGCGCCGTCTTGATGTTCATCAGCGCCGATGCTGGTGGCGGGGCGCGGTGGAGCACACGGGCAGGTGTGATGAGAGGCATGGGCATGCACATGAGAGGCATGCATCACATGAGAGGCATGCATGCACATGGGCAGCAGAGGCGTGATGAGATGTATATGCATGGGTCAACAGCTGCACGGTGGCAGCAGCAGCATGAGGCACAGCCACAGTCGTACCTGCAGTGACGTCGGTGGTGACGGGCGGAACAGGAGGGCAGGTGAGGGCGAGCACGGGGGTGCTGGTCGTTGGGAAGGAAGTAGCAGCCTTCACAGCTGCCGGGTCCGGCTGGCAGGCCACAATCCCACCTCACAGCACACCCGTGCCGTCCGCGCTGTTGCAGATGGCACACGAGGGCCGCTGCGTGATGCCCTGGTTGTTGTTGTTCTTGCAGGGCGTGGGGTCGTTGAAGCAGTTGGCCCGCGCCGTGCAGAAGTACCAGTTGGCAGTGCTGGGGTACTTGCCGACGAACCAGTTGTTCTCCAGATCCAGCACCTGCAGGGTTGATGTTCCCAGCACCGGCACCGACCCCGTCAGGTAGTTCCACCCCACGCTCCTGCTCGCACATGCACACACGCACACGCACACATGCACACACAATTTTTGAGATTGCTGAAAAACCTGCAGAGCTGTGTCCAACACTGGCACCGACCAGGTCTGGTAGTTCCACCCCACACTCCTGCATTCACCGAATGCACACACACGCATGCAGCATGGGGGGACGGGGTGGGAGAGGGGTGCAAAAGATCCAGCTGGCGAGGGAAAGTAACTGTACTCCCAACTCCAAATCCCAGCACCGGCAGCGACCCTGTCAGGTACTTCTACCCCACGCTCCTGTTCGCACCACATGTGCGCACACGCCACACACACGCATGCACACACGCATGCACACACGCATGCACACACGCATGCACACACGCATGCACACATGCATGCACACACGCATGCACACACGCACGCACACACGCACGCACACGCACGCACACACGCACGCACACACGCACGCACACACGCACGCACACACGCACGCACACACGCACGCATGGGGGGACGGGGTGGGATATGGGTGGGTGTGGTTTCATGGTGCATCCCATCCCACAGCAAGGCAGAACAGAGGGCATGCAGAGGGGAGAGCGAGTGCAGGGAATTTGGACAGGGTGGTTGCGGGGGAGAGGCTGAGGGCGCTCACAGCATCAAAGGAAAGATGAAATCTGGGCAGGGCGGTTGATTGGGGGGAAGTGAAGGGTACTCACAGCATGTAGAGGCTCTTGATGGAGGCAATGGTGGAGGGGAGATTTAGGGGGCTCAGCATGTGAGACAAGCTGGTGTGACTTTTGAGAATTTTTGAAAGACAGGGTGTTTGTGGGGGGAGGGGTTAAGGTGGAGGGTACTCACAGCATGTATAGGCTCTTGATGGAGGAGATGGTGGATGGGAGTGAGCCCGAGAAGAAGTTGTAACTCATCACCCTGCACCACGGCACACAGGAGGTGGGGAGGGAGGGGATTTTTTAGGCGCCTCAAAAATCAACTCAATGTAACTCATCACCCTGCACCGCGGCTCGCAGGAGGTGGGGAGGGAGGGAGGGGGAGAGGGGCGGCATATTACGGACGAGCAGAGACAGGCGGGACAAGGGCACGGAGAACAGCGACGAACAAGGATTACAGGAAAGATCGGGAGAAGAGAGAACGAGGGCAGGGTGGAGCGCGTACAGGTTTTTCAGCGCGGTGAGGCCGGTGAGGGGCGTTATGAAGGGGTCCAGGCGGCCCGACAGGAAGTTGCTCGACATGTCCCTGTAGGGGGGGCAGCAGGGAAGGGGGCGGTTGGGAAGCGGGAAATGAGTTTAAAGGGTCCAATGGGCCTGACAAAAAGTTGCCTGAAATGTCCCTGCAGAGGGCATGGAGTGATTTTTGAGGCGCCTGGAGTGATTTTTGAGGCGCCTGGAGTGATTTTTGAGGCACCTGGAGTGATTTTTGAGGCGCGTCAAAAACAGGCAGGAAGTTGGTTGACGGGAATGAGCGGCGGGCAGGTAGGTATACATGGCAGGTAGGTATACATGGCAGGTAGGTATACATGGCAGGTATGTATACATGGCAGGTAGGTATACATGGCAGGTAGGTATACATGGCAGGTAGGTATACATGGCAGGTAGGTATACATGGCAGGTAGGTATACATGGCAGGTAGGTATACATGGCAGGTAGGTATACATGGCAGGTAGGTATACATGGCAGGTAGGTATACATGGCAGGTAGGTATACATGGCAGGTAGGTATACATGGCAGGTAGGTATACATGGCAGGTAGGTATACATGGCAGGTAGGTAGACATGGCAGGTAGGTATACATGGCAGGTAGGTATACATGGCAGGTAGGTATACATGGCAGGTAGGTATACATGGCAGGAGGGGGCGAGCGGCACTGACAGGGCAGTGAGGGATGGAAACGTGGAACGGCGGGGTGCATGGTGCCACCATGGTCGAAAGAACGGTTCGAGCCGCAGCAAGCCGTGGGTCTCCGCAAAAACCTCATCTAAAGAGTAATGGGTGCACTGTCAGGGCGGTGAGGCCGGTGAACTGATGAACTTGGAAATGTCAGAGTGCATGGTGCCACACATGGTAGATACAAGGGTTCGGACCCCTGCAAGCCATGGATCTCCATAAGAGTTTCAAGTAAAAAGTAATGGGTGGGTGCACCGACAAGGCGGAGAGGGCACTGACAGGGCGGTGAGAGCGGTGAAGTTGGAGATATCGGGGTGCATGGTGCCACGCATGAGGCGCTGCTTGAGGAAGATGTCGACCACGCCGCCCTGTATGTTGCAGTTGACGGCCGGCATGTCCTGTGGGCCCCTGTAGATGCCCGTGACCGCGCACAGCGTCTGCACACCCCACCCCTGGTGGGGCACTCCCAGTGATGTCTTCAGGTTTGCCAGAATTGGCACTGTCAGGGAGTGGGGCGCAGAGGGGTGAAGAGGGAGAGAGGGAGAGCGGGTTGGGGGAGTGGAGCGCAGAGGTGGTAGAGTGAACGGCACATTGGAGAGGGAGGAGGCAGAGAGAGGAGGCAGAGAGAGGAGACAGAGAGGAGGCAGAGAGAGGAGACAGAGAGGGGAGGTAGAGAGAGGAGGCAGAGAGAGGAGACAGAGAGAGGAGGCAGAGAGAGGAGACAGAGAGAGGAGGCAGAGAGAGGAGACAGAGAGAGGAGGCAGAGAGAGGAGACAGAGGGAGGAGGCACAGGGAGGAGGCATGGGAAGGGTAGAGAAAGGAGGCAGAGGATGCGAAAGCAGAGGAAGAGGCAGGGAGAGGGGCAGAGCAACGTACGAGCAGCAGGGTCGATGCGGACGCCAGTGCACATGAGTGGCAGCACGGCAGCAGAAGCACTATTCGGCGTCTTTGTCGGCAGCACCAGGGTCGTGTTGGGCGCGCACACTCCCCCACCGCACAGCAGCGTGGACGCGTTCGCATAGCCACAGATCATGCAGGCGGTGGCAGTGCGCTGCGTGGAGGAGCCCGAGGAGACACACTTGGAGGCGTCGAGCAGGCAGTTGTTACGCGCGTCACACATGGTGGTGGAGGACGCCGGGAAGGATCCCGCCAGGAAGTTGGAGGCGACGTTTATGGTCTTAAGGGATGCTGCTGGGACGCCCGTGATGCTGCCTGTGAGGTAGTTGAACTGCAGGTTGCTGTAGGTGGGAGAGCAGGGGGGAGACGAGAGAATGGTGAGTGGCATGCCATTGGTGGCACCCGTTGCCTGTGAGGTTGTTGAAATACAAGTTACTGCAGGTGGGACAGCAGGAAGAAGGGGGGCGGGCGATGAAGGAGAGAAGAAAGTGGCGAATGGCACGTGTGAGGTGACGTGTAGAGAGGGTGTTTTTGAGACGTCTCAAAAACACCCTCTCTAGAAGAGAGCATGGCGAATGGCACGTGTGAGGAGGTTGAAATGCAGGTTGCTACAGGTGGGACGGCCGGGGGAAGGGTGGTTGAGTGCGATGGAGGAGACGGAAAGCGGCGAGCGGAACGTGTGAGCAGAGCTAGGAGAGGGTGGGGTGTGGGTTATGGGGAATGGGTGAGGCTGCCTGGAGCAAGGAGTGAGCAGAGAGAGCAGGCCTTCACAAAAGATTCCTATCAGTGCGAGGTGAGGGATACATGACTGTGTGTGAGGTGAGGGATACATGACTGTGTGTGAGGTGAGGGCACCTGCGCATGCGTGCATGTGCGTGTGTGGGCATGAGTGAGTGTGCCACTTACAGCGTTGTGAGGGTGGAGAGAGTGAGCAGGTAGGATGGCAGAGGGCCGGCGAACCAGTTGTAGTTGAGAGCGCTGTTGGGGAGGGGTGGAGAGGGGTAGAGAGTGGTGAAGGAGTGAGGGTTGCAGTGAGGGGTGGGGAAGGTGGAGAAATGACTGGGGAAGGTGGTGAGGTGCCAGGGGACGGATGGAAACGCGAGCACAAGGAGAGCCGGGCAGGGCATGGCAGGGCAGGGCAGGGAGGGCAGGGCATGGCAGGGCAGGGCAGGGAGGGCAGGGCATTGCAGGGCAGGGCAGGGAGGGCAGGGCATTGCAGGGCAGGGCAGGGAGGGCAGGGTATTGCAGGGCAGGGCAGGGAGGGCAGGGCGCGGCCCGGCAGGAATGGCAGGGCAAGGAATGAGAGGGCAGGGCACTGACAGGTGCTTGAGCGCCTTGAGAGTGGTGAGCACCGTGGCCCATTCGCCCAGGCGTGCCTCCAACAGGTTGGACGCCATGTTGCTGCCGGGGTACGGAGGAGGGGTTAGGGGGTTTCAGGGGGGTTTCCAGGGAGCACAACACGAGGGTGAGGGAGGGGAGGATGGGTGCACATGGAAATGGCACTTGCATGAGCAAGCACGGAGCACTTTGCAGGAAGAGCAAACGAGGGGTTGCAGATTCATGTTGCATGGGTCCCAAGTGAGGTGCAGGTGCAGAAGCGATTGCAAGGGGGAGAGGCACTCACATGCGGGTGAGGGCAGTGAGCTTGGACACGTCAGCAGGCAGATCTCCTCGCAGCCCCATGTTGGGTAGCTCCCTGGGGTGACGTCACCATGCCACCATGCCATCATGACACCATAAAAACACAGGAATGAGTCAGCGGATCAAAGGCGCAAAAGCAGTCTAGGGAGCAAAACGGAAGGGAGTCCCATCTGCAATCTTTGCAGAGAATACACAGGGACACACGTGGCACATGATGCAGGAGGTGCAGCACACACAGGGAGACGGCTTGGCCGGTGGTGTCACAGGCCACCCCCGCCCAGCTGCCGGGCATGAATTGTGAGACGTCTAAACTAAAAGGTTTAATGCATCCAGGGCGTGCAGCACTGACAAGTTGAGGACTTGGCCGGTAGTGTCACAGCCGACGCCCGCCCAGCTGCCGGGCATGGGGGGGTTACCCGCCACGTCGCACGGCGAGTCCACCAGCCAGCTCGTCTGCGTCACTCCCAGCGCCGCCCTCAGCACCAGCAGCGCTTGCGCTGCCATTGCACGCCCGGAGGAAGAGCGGGGGGGAGGGAGAGAGAGAGAGGGAAGAGGAGGGGAGCGAGGCAACAGGGAGGGCAGTGAGGGGAGCGAGGCAACGGGGAGGGCAGTGAGGGGAGCGGAGGCCAAGAAGAAGCATGGTGCAATATGTCGCATGCGATGCATGTGTGTGCATATGAGCGCATGTGTGTGCATATGAGCGCATGTGTGTGCATATGAGCGCATGTGTGTGCATATGAGTGCATGTGTGTGCATGAGGCGCCACTACGTGCACATGTGGGGCATGTAGGCAGCCAGCGCGTGCAGGCTCACCAGCAGTGGCGTCGATGATGGCGGGGCCACAATATAACGGCTGCACAGCCGCCGTGAGGCTGTTCACCGTGCCAGCCGCCAGAACATTCGTGGCATTGAGAATACAGGGAGCGCCGCTGCAGAGGGGCGGGGCGGCGTTGTCAGTGGCGCAGATGTTGCAGCCGGAGGTGCGCTGAGCCACGCCATAGGCATTGTAGCAGGACCCGAGGTTTGAGAAGCAGTTGTTGCGGATGTCACAGAACTGGAAGGTTTGATTGGGGAAGGCCCCTGCGAGGAAGTTGTGGTTTACAGCCAGGTACTTGAGCTTGGTGGGCACGGCTGGGAGGGTACCCGTCAGGTAGTTGGCACTCAGACGGCTGTATGGGGAGGGGGAGGGGGGCAGGGATGGTGGACAAGTTGTGACTTGTGAATGGAAGTGTGGATGGATGGGACATGCACATGGGCATATGGATGGACAAAGAGAAAGGAGTTCGGTGCTGACAGGTGCAGCATCCACATGCCACACAAACCAGCACCTGACTGCCATCCAACACCTGACTGCCATCCAACACCTGACTGCCATCCAGCACCTGACTGCCATCCAGCACCTGACTGCCATCCAACACCTGACTGCCATCCAGACAGGCATCCTGAAACCTGTGGCTGTTACCACTGCTTTTGAGTCGACTCAAAAGCTGACAGGTATGCTGAATCCTGTGGCTGTTACCACTGGGAGTGCTCGGAACTGACATTTCTGCGAGGGAGACCATGTTGAGCAGAGTGGAGGGCACGCTGTCATAGAGGTAGTTGAAGTTGAGATTGCTGGCGGGCGGGAGGAGGGGCGCACACATGCAGAGGAGGGGCGCACACATGCAGAGGGGCGCACACATGCAGTTGGGGCACACACACATGGAGAGGAGGCGAAAAAGAAGGTAGTGTCATAAAGGGTTGACGAAACAAGGGGACAACAGACGGAAGCAGCGAGAGGCGGGCATGTGAGTGGATGGTGGGGGGCATGCGAGATACTGGATGACATGTGAGATACTGGATGGCATGTGAGATACTGGATGACATGTGAGATACTGGATGACATGTGAGATACTGGATGACATGTGAGATACTGGATGGCATGTGAGAGGAGGGAGGGGAGGAGAGGGGAGGTGAGGGGACGCACAGGGTGACAATGGCGGTGAGCGGCGTGATGTTGGAGATGAAGGTGGATAGGCGGCCGTACAGCAGATTGTAGCCCAGATGCCTGCACTCACAAGCAGGGGGGAGGGATTGGGGGGAGGCGAGGGGGGGGGGGGGGGGTAGGCGAGCACGGGGAGCATGAGAGAATGGGAGAGGCGGTCGTACAGCAGATTGTAGCCCAGATGCCTGCACTCACAAGCACGGGGGAAGGGATTGGGGGGAAGCGAGCACAAGGAGGGATGGGCGAGCAAGGGGTTAGGATTTGGTGCTGGGCTGCTGAGCATGGGAGCATGGGGGAGAGGTGGCCGTACAGCAGATTGGGGGGGATGGGGGCGAGTGGGGGGAGAATGGGAGGAGACGAGGTGACGGGTTGGGAACGAGGATGCTTGCTTGCAGATAAGGTGATGCACATACAGGTAGGAGAGACTGGTGAGTTTGGTCATGTCTGCATGGATGGAGCCCCGCAGGTTCAAGTTGTTCAAAATGCTGCCATGGCAAACAGGCAAGGCGGGTGGGGTGAGTGAAGGCACATGAGTGGCATGACTTCTGAGGCTCCTCAAAGGCCATGCTGGCATGGATGGTACCTCGAAGTTGTCCAAATTGCTGCCATGGCAACATGCACACGGTGGATGGGGCGAGTGAAGGCAGATGAGTGGCATGAGAGGCAACGCATTGGGAAGGAGAGACATACGGAGAGACACACAAGTGTGCGTCTTCCTCCCGCTCCTCATCATTCCTTCGCAACCTGACAATCACTGTTAGTTCGTTTTTGGCCAGGTCAATTTTTTCCATCCAAGGTTGACATGAAACAAGAAGTGCTTTAGAGGGTGCGGAACGAAAGAGAAGTGGCGGGGGGGTTGCTTAGAGTCGACTC